TTGAAGCTGCCGCCCGCCGATTGAGGCTGAACCGTCCATCTGGACGGTCCAGGGTCTGGCCTGGCCTCGCAGCATTGAGGCCAGACCATTGCCTACCGGTATAAGTACCGGTATCCGCCTCAGTTGAGGGATCGGCCTACCAAAACTCTTCCGGCACGGCATGGTCAGTACCAGTGTACTATTTTTATGCGCTAAACTTAGCGCAGGGGCTGAAGCAGGAGCGCAGCATAGCACAGCCGCGAGCGGAGCAGCAGCAGGGCGACTGAGCCAGCACGGCGGCCATTGCCGCCTGAGGTACCGGGAGCTTGGAGGGTCTCTCCTCCTCTCCCTCGCCAGTCCCCTCTCTCTCTCTCTCCTCTTCCTCCTTCTTCTTCTTCTTCTTCTCCTTCTTCTTCAGATTGGAGACTATCCAGTTGGACAGAGATCAGAGTTGGACTTCGGTGATGCGAGACTGTGGTACTTACCTGATTGGAGACTTGGAGATTGTTGAGGTTGATACTCGGCTGCATCACAGTTGGACACCGGTTACATCTGGACTCTGTTATCTCCGACATTGGTGACCTTTGGTCCTCGACATTTTGATCTTGTTATATGACATTCTGGACTACCATTTCGGAGACCTACCAGACTCTATCTTGTGACCTATCGGTGTGATCTACCTCCTACCTCCTTCGTCTCTCCTCCCACCTTTCATCTGTGTATGTGTGTACGGGATCTGGGTATCGTCTATGAATGACCCAGACCCCACCATCTCATGATTGTATGTGTGTGGAGTGATGCCATGTAGGTCAGTCTATGTGAGTCAGTTCGTTATCAGACTTCCGCTGCATAAATGCTCATCCTATATTGGTTGATCTTTGGTTCTGCCCATACTCATTGAAGTATGTATCAGCTACCTTCTTGCCCCGAATACAACAGGCTTTATAGCTGTATGTAAGGCATCTTTCAGTCTAGATACAGCTATAATGACCGTACGCTGTATTCGGGGGAAGAAGCTAGTCTGAGTATGTCCTAAATCAGGCTCGTTGGAAGGGACGTTGTATTCGGGGGGGGAAGAAGGTAGTCTCATTTTCCAAATGGAAAAAAGGGGAAAAAAAAAAACACTCTGATAGGCAGAAAGCTGGAGTCCGGGCTCGGAGGCCACTAATAGGTCTGTGCAAGTAACATAGGACTACCGTAGTCGGTAAGGGGGTAGAAGTGGAAGTAATGTCGGTAAGGGGGTAGAAGTGGAAGTAATTAAAACAGTAGCAATAGGACAATGTCCTTTTCTATCTTCTGTTGATCCAATAAGCGAAAGAGGATCGGATCGAATGCCCGAATCTGGACGAGCTCATGGAGATGTGCAGGAAATCGAGATTGAACTGCTTTTCTGCATCTCTGCTTAAAACACATCCAGATTCATGAGCTCGATCCTCTCCTTTTTGCTAGTGGGACCTCGGCCCGGGTGGAATTGTGGGGACCCCGGCCCTAATTTTGCTATCTTGAAATATAATTGAACGTGTGGTTGTTTAAAAAAAGAAAAAAACGCAAAAAAAGAAAACAAAGAAAAAAAAAAAGCAAGCTGGAGTCGGACGACTGGAACGTGCTGAGAAAGTTGACATGGACGCCGCCCGTGGATGTCAGATCCCAATGGAATCAGTTAATTTGACCGAGGCAAGGGGGGGGGGGGGTTGGGGGGAGGGGGGGGAAGACCAAATTGAACTAGGGGCGTACTCACTCACAATAGCAGTTTCCGGAATGCATCTGACCGCAATTACGAACGAATCTGACCGGAATGACGTCCAGAGAGCTTCGTGGAAAAAGCCCTCGTGTGTCAGTATGCCCTTCGCAGTGGAAACCCGAACTTGAATCCCAGGCGGAATGGGAGGGGGGTAACCACCAGATCGTGGGACGTGAGTCCCGATCGGGTTGGCGCAAGAAAAAAGAAAAGAAAAAAAGAAAAAAACACGAGGTGTAATGGAGAAGTTAGAATGGGTAGGAGATTTCGGATTGGAGGGGTCGGGGGACGCTGGGCCCGGTTCCCAGCAGGAGCTGCACCCAACCCAAAAAAAAAAAAAGAAAAAAAAAAAAACGGGTAGGGGAAATGAAGGAAGGGGGGGCCGCGAATGGGTGAATGAAGAGGAAGAAATGATGGGGAAAGCCGTAGATGTGGAAACGTTTATGAAAGGCAGATGGGAGATGGAAGCAGTGATTTCCAGGGACAGTCCACGGAGTTTCCACGAAACTCTGCGAGACGAAGCTGTGGTACTGTAACCAATCGTCTTCGACGACAGAAGGCGTAAGGAACGGATTGAATGATGGTGGGAGGTCGAGGGCCCGTTGCGTTGGAACCACGTAGCACACTTCGTGGTGCGAAACATTCGCGTACGTTGCACTCTCGACTGATGCAAGGACAGCGGCGAAGAGATTGCCGCGGAGAGAGAGAGAGAGAGAGAGAGAGAGAGAGAGAGAGAGAGAGAGAGAGAGAGAGAGAGAGAGAGAGAGAGAGGAGGGGGCAGTGAATATAATTACTCCGACACCATCCAGGGGCGAGAGTGAAGTCTCTGGTCGGGCTCGTTGATCGTGGGCACGGGTACCACAGCGTCCGCGAGTGTATGTAACCGAACAGAGGCAGAGACAGTCCACAGGGAGAGAGAGAGAGAGAGAGAGAGAGAATCTGGAGAAAGATGGCAGCTTTATCTGTAATTTTGCTGTGCTAGGAACGTGTAATTAGGGAAGGGAATCATTGAGATACGCAGGACGATAGGGGAAGCCTGTGGACGGGGTACTGTGATCGCGCGCGCGCCCGT